GGCACTTCCAAGTTACTAAGCTTTCCAGTCCTAAAATGATCAGGTCTGAATTAATAATTTATAAAAGGAAATAAATGGTGGAAAAGTGTAAAAGAAGAATTCACGTATGTCACTTGGTTAATTGGGTTACGTTGCTTTAGGCCTAAGGAACAATCTTTATTTCCTCCTCATTAATACTTTTGCTGTGCATGCAATATCACATATGAAGACCTCCTTCTCCCCTAATTAATTCATGGTACTTCTAACTTTCATATTTTGCATTTCATTTCAATTTATGAAAATTGAGAATTTCAGTGAAGAAAAAAGGAAATAAAGATTCCTCCATCATGCTTATAACTGGATATTCTACAATCCCTATAACAAATCCACGCATAAGGCCAAGCCTACAATTTACAAAAGTTAAACATACGCAAGGAAAAAAAGGGATGAAGGACTGATTTTGTTTATGACATATCTTTGCTTCTGTTTTATAATTCAGTCTTCACCCCAGGATGTAAGAATATATATATTTTTAAAGTTTCCAGGATACAGAGTACAAGATTAGACTTGTGTTATCTGGTATATAAGTAGTCACTCAGTATATTTGGGAAATGGAATATCTGCTGAATAAATTTAAATTTTTATAGAATAGATGCATAGCAATTAAAATCACCTAAATAAATTGTATTTTACCTTTTCACCTTTAGAGCCCTTGAGACCTCTGACACCATCTGCTCCCTATGGAATAAATTAGAAGGATTAAATGACTACAATATTTTACAATTAAATTAAATAATGGGGGGAAAATCAAATAACATTTACCTTTACTCCTCGGGGACCAGGGTAGCCAATAGGACCCTGTGGGCCAGGAGGACCCTGAAAAAGACCCATTGCCATTTAAACACATAAAACAATGAATGTGCCACTCATTCACATACCATAATTTTACCAAAGAAACTCTAAGAATATGATATTTTTCTACTTTTGGTAAAAATTTCTTGTGTAGTTTATCATTTGTTTCTAAAGTCAGATATGATTAACAGATCATATAATAAGCCCTACCTACTTCAAACTTATTATATCACATGTTCATGCTAAAAATAAGATAAATATTATGAATATGTGAAATAATATAAATAATATATAATTAGCAACTAATTTTCTAAACATGAAATAAACTGTTCTCAATGTCTACAATGAACAATTATAGATTTCTAACCAAAAACTGGTATAAATTTGTAGCATTCACATCATCAAGAACATGATCAAAATTACATATTTTCCACATCTGGCTTCATTTCACTAGTCTACCTAAAGGAAAACATGATTTCCACTAAATGTTAGCAAAAGTCCTTTTGAAAATAAAGACATATTACAGATACACAATAACTATTTTCAGAAACTTATTGTCTAATATTCATATCCTTAAATGATCACATATGTATTTATATAAATCAGAGAAATTTATGTATACATATACATACATATATATGTGTATATATGTGTGTATATATATATATGTATATATATATATATATAAATCAGAGAAATTAGCAAAGTAAGGCATTTTCTCTAAAATACAGTGTGACAGAACATTTAAATGGATAGTTTGTAACATACCAGAGAACCCTTTTCTCCAGACTGGCCTTCTTTTCCAGGATGACCCTATATTTACCAAAAGTATATATTGGTGAGATACAAAATTAATGGTAGTTTATACTATGAAAGTATTCCCTTTTTTCAATCTGTTAAGGTTTTACTCTTTATGTTTCAAAATGTGTTGAACATTCTGCATTAGTATATATGGCTTTAAATAACACTGGAAACTGTGGCATTTGGAAGGAAACATAATAAGCTTATATGGGATAGATGTAAGTTTCATCAACTGCATAACATTTTTGAGAGAGCTTGGGAAAAACACATAAAACATTTTAGCAATTCAACCCAGTCTCAGAATCTTACATAAAGGTGTTTCAATCTAACTTTTATTTTGCATATTGATCAAATAATCACATGTGATATCTTCAAAAACAACTAAGATATATGGATGGGACATTTTAAAACACAGCAACATCATAAATACTAATGATGTCAATAATCAAGTATTGAGAGTCAGTAAATAAAAATGTACAGCTCCGTAACAATTATACTCAATAAAGACAAGTAGTGGCAGAATGAAGATCTGTGTACACTAGCTCTGAGTTTGGAGAGAAAAAGAAGCGTAAATAACAAATGTCTCAAAACAACAACTGTAGAGATTATTACATAACTACATTATTTATTACTATGTGATAAGATAAAGTAAATTGCTATATTTCTAGAAAAGTAAAAAAAAAATTCCTGAAGCAGACAATGTCTGAGGAAACTTATGAATGGTGAGAAATTTCACCTGAACTCTTACAAACATGTACTTTGCAAAGGAAGAGAGAATGGAAAAGTGTTTTCTATGAAAAGAAAAGGGCGTAACACAAGACATAGCAACGGAAAAAGTAGAGCATGCTAAGAAAAAAGTGAGTGGTAGGAAAATAAGAGATTCTGGCCTTGAGTTGTCCAAAGACCCCTGGGAACTCCTCAGAGATTTTGCACTACGGACGTGACATGATGAAATGGCATTTAGAGAGATTAATGTTTAATTCCTGGCTCAATTTGCTTTCATTACTGAATTTATAAAATCACTTCTAAAGCACATGTAAAATCCGTTTTTGAATATAATATGTAGAAACGTTAGTGACCAGGTAACTACGACTTACGGGAGGCCCGTCGGCACCAGGAAGTCCCGCAAGCCCTGGTTTTCCTTGTGGTCCCTAATCAAATAGAGAGAAAGAATATTTTAGTTTAAAAACTGAAAACAATGAAAAGTCCGACTTTGTTTATAGGAATATACTATCGAAATTCGTAACTTGAGTCACTGGCTTTTATCCATAAGCAACAAACCTCTAAACGCTTTTTAACATATTATGTAGAAGAAATGGTAAGTAAAGATAAATGAAAACCAAATTTACTATGTCAAAAACATGCTAGTTTTCATCCTGTGTAGTAGTCCTAAATGTGCCTTTTTTAATGAACAAGTTAGTTTTTGCATACTACAATGAACTGAAGCTTATAGAATAAAAAAGGGAAACAATATAGGTCAGAAGTACATTGATTTATATCAGTGATAAAGCAAATATTGGATATTTCCATCAATGGTATTAATAAGTGCCATTCAAATAATTACACAGTAACACTGATGAAACATCAGTGATTATTAAATATATTAAGAAATATAAGTTATAGATGACAGTTACAGGACATTAAAAAATACTACTTTGACGTAAAAAGGGCATAATCTAACATGCAACTAACAAATAATAATATAGTATTTATTCAACAGATTAATCTCTGTTTAACCACAGAGATTTCAGAAGTCATTTGATCTGACCATTGCTAAGGTTGGAACATGGTAAAAATGACTATTGCAAGAAGTAGACCCTTCAATGGGAACAAATTGGCTTTCTGTTGAGAATAATTAACTTTATCAACTCCCCAGAGCCCAAGCCATTATTGCTTACTGGTCAAGTTATTAGCAACAATTAAAAGGGCAAGAATTTATCAGCAAGTCTAGATGCGGGACGTAGGAGGATTTTTCCATTCTCAGTATTTAGGGAAAGTGCTGTATTCGTGTATATGAAGAGCACAGAGTTTAACAAGAAAGCCTCGCTTAAATCACTATGGAACAACACAAGAAATTAAAGATAACCTTTAAATTGAACAACGTAGACTTTATAACAGAGTTTAATTGCATCTCATTTACAGGATTTAAAAGTTTCAATTCCCTTTGCCACTCGGCCAAATCATATTCAGTCAAGTAATCTCACATTATGAGGTAACTATTAGAAATCCCTGTTTTTTATGGCAGTATTTTGTCTTATACTTAAATTACTCTTGCTCTCAGAAAAAAAACAGTGTTATTTCTTCAAAACAAAACGTAGAGTACAAATGCAGAACTATTCCACTAATTATTCTTTTCAGCAGGTGTGATATTTCTATGATAATGCCCTTCTGTGTAATATACTATATGGATTTCTTATTGTTGCTATATATTTAAGGATAGACTAGAAATACCAAAACTCTTGTACAATAAGATGACTTTTTAATGAAGTTAAAACCAATCCATCTGTATTAGAGTGGAAGCGCCAGGACAGCACAATGTTTTGTCTGCTTTCCTAACTGCTTTTTGTTTCACTACAGGAAGGGAAATAAAGTTACATGAATAAATGTCATAGTTTTTAGATTTTAATGAAATAGTTAAAATTTACCATGTTTCTATGCACTATATTAAGCAATATATAACACATATTATATACATTTACATATATAGCACCCATTTTAAGTCTCAAGCAATTCCATGAAATAATCAATGTTAATATAATATGTGACAGAGTTGCAGTATAAATGACCCAGATCTGTAGCCATGTCTTCAAAGTTCTTGCCTTTAACTAATATTTATTTTGTGTCTTGTATTTCTTACTTAGCTCAGAGTTATACAGCACCATTTGTTTTATGTAAAGCAATTAATATATGAGTGACGTAAATTCTGAAATCATAAATTAAATCATAGGATATAATCAGTATATTTGGTTATCAACATGTCAGCAAAGCAATATAACGGTCAACCATTTTAGTTAATTAACTTAAACTTTATAAAATGTTTTATCACAAATATAATAAAAGCACAGGCTACAATAACTTTAGACAAAGATATAAAAGTTATTGGGAATTAAAAATATATGACATTACTTTAATTATATTTAATTGTGGGATTATACCACAATCCAACTGAAAACACCATCCACCAAGTTTTGAGTGGCAATGCTCTTAGGCCAGAATGAACAGGTCACAGTATATCATAAAGAAAATAATATAAAGCTAAAATAAAATACATACCACAGATGCAACATAAACAAAACACATTTCCCTCATGTTCTGGAGTTTCTTTCTCCTTTTGATGGAAGGAAACTGACTTTGGACTCAAGAGTGGGATGTGTTCAGAGCAGAGAAAGAAGTAGTTTGTGCTTAAGACAGCTCTCTTTCTACTGCAAGAAGTGTAGTGAATCAGAGCCTGTATTTCACCTGTGGCTCAACAAAGGGAATCCAAAAACACTAACTTTCCTTAACAGCAAATTCCTCTTAGGAATCTAGTGCATAGGTGATAAAATTATCGTAGAAAATGTAATAGGTTCATTTAACCATATAGAAAACGTGCAAGGAGAAAAATTATTTTAAAGGCCCCTTAAGTTTGATACACAAATTCTTACATATTAATAAGTAACTCAATTAGAATATTACCAAAGGATTTGAATATATAATTTACTAAAGAATATGTAGAAAATGCCACTAAGCATTTAAAAGGTGCTCAACATCACTAGTGATTAGGAAAATTCAAATTAATACCACAGTAAGATACTATTTCATACCAACGAGAAAGACCATAAGCAAAAAGAAGAAACAATAACACATATTTGTGAGAATCTGGAGAAACTAGAATCTTCATAAATTGCAGATAGGAAGGAAATTTGGTACAACTACTTTGAAAAATAGTTTAGAAACTTCTGTAAATGTTAAATATAAATTTGTGTATAATCCAGCAATTCTAAGTATCTACCAAAAATAGATGAAAACATATCTACACAAATACCTTCTTGCAAATCTTCATAGCAGTACTGTTCATAATAGCTGAAAAGTGTACATAACTCACATGTCCCTCAATTGCTGACTAAGTAAACAAAATATGGTATATTCAATCAAAGGAATACTATTTGGCAATAAAAAGGAGCAAAGTACTGATATATTCCACAACATGGATAAACCTCAAAAGCATTATGCCAAATAAAAGAAGCCAGACACAAATGTCACATGGTATAGTCACTCACATGATTAAATTCACATATTCAACTCATTCATATGTCTTATTCAAATGAGACATTCAGAAAAGAAAAATCTATAAAGATAGAAAGGAGACCAACAGCTGCCAAGGTCTGTGGGTGGGATGGGAGGACAAATTAACACAAGGTTTCTTTCTGGGGTGGGATATATATTCTAAAAATGTGATTGTGGCAAAATTCTGGACACTGACTAAAAACCATTGACTTCTACACTTAAAATGAGTGAATCTGTATGGTATAAAATTAACCCAATAAAGCTAATTTTTAAAAAATCATATATTCATAGAAATCAACAAAAATAAGAAGTATACGAGAAAGAACTAGCTGACACTGTTCTGTAACTGTAGGGGACAGGAAGTATTTCTTAGGGAATCTGTCAGAGAAGATAGGAAAAAAAGACATCTCTTTAATTAAAGATGTATTCTTGCTTTGATCCAGACATTGAGTTATTAACAAGAACATCATTTGCCATTTATACATGAGAAATGGTGGCAATGATAACATCACAATTACCCTTAATTAGATCTTGCTAGGAGCCCTTTGTCACACGTAAGCCTAATTACATTTTTTAAATAATGAGAAATTAAAGGAGAACCAAAATAAAGAGAAAACATTCACTCATACCAGTACATTTCTGAAATGAATAGAGCTGAGACCGTCACGTCTGGAAACTCTCCAAATGGAAACTGTGAAATCTTATCATTGACAGTTCAGAGATGTATGAATGACTTCTGCTCACACTTTACTTTCATGATTTAACTCCAGGTTAATTCTTTATATGCTGAGCCATCTAGATATCTTATCAAAAATGGCAGGTCTTATACCTGCCTAAGGTTGCCAACCCAAGCCTGTTTACCAGACATTACTAGAACAACAGAGTAACTTACTTTTTCACCAGGAGGACCAATCGGACCTTGTGGACCCGGAAGACCCTATTTTGAAAGAATATATTTCAAATGTAAGGAATCACATCATAAGAATATACTCTTAAAATAGTAAATAATTAGCCCTGTATTTTACATGAAATGAGTTATGAGACTCAAATATATTCCCCCACACCCCATTCCCCAGAAAGTTTTGGAACACTGTCAGTTTTACACAAGCTGCTCTTTTGGCAACAGGACTGTCATATGATCCTATTCAGAACCCTCCTGCAGGTGTGGCTATTCGTCCTGGCATTCCACGAACACTGAATAACCCAGGTCTCTCTAGGAAGAAAGAGGCCCCTGCAAATTTACTCAAATATTTTTTAATTAAAAAAAAATAATTTTCCTACATTCACAATGTAAACAGTTAGCCCCACATAGAAAGTTCTGAGGCTGTCAATTTTCTTGTAAAAAGATATCGCCTTACCCCATAATCTCAAAAAAGCTGTGACGGCATAGACTTACTTGAGGTCCTGGATTCCCCTGCTGACCTGGTGGTCCAGGCTCCCCTTGGGGACCCTGCCATAGGAAAATATAAAGAGTCTTTAATAGAACTATTTTACACAATGGGTTTTTTCTTCTCAATTGAAAAATAGTCCCCGAAACAGGTTTCTGTATAGAAAATTTGGAAAATTTTGCAAAATATTAATGCTAACAGAAGCTAATGCATTTAGCAAAACATTGTGAGAAATGTTAATTTTAGATTTAGCAACAAAGGTGGTTTGTTGGTACTTAGATTGCAGAAATGAGTTACCTTATGGACATTTTCTACATACCATGTTCCCTTTTGGTCCTGGGGGGCCATCCACACCTGCAATACCCTTTAGTGAAGAAAAAAATACACATAGGTGTTTACAAGTTTAGATGCTGTAACAGAAAATTAATAAGGCAGATCTTAATAGTGTGACAACCACTAGCCTAGGGTGACTAAAAATCATTTTAGAATTTAATGAAAATGAGGGAAAAAAGCAAATCTATATTCCCCACTCCATGTCCATGGAGATGAGCTAGCTGCATTTTCCACTGTGTGTGGGGAATTTGGCATGAAACAGTAAAACAGACAAACTAAAAGGAAAGAAGCAGGTGGAGTGGGGAATGATCAGTTAAACCGATAGGCAGCATCATTCAGTCCTAGAATACAGCAGTAAACACCTGGCTGTCTACTGAAAGCTCACAGCCTCTCAGCTTTGAAAAGTCTGGTAACAAGCCTTCCCTAGAAAATCTTGATTGTTTTCAGCAATACATACAGGCTGCCCTATAGGTCCTGGAGTTCCCCTTGGTCCCAGCAAACCTCGTGGACCCTAGGAGGAAAAGAAAAACACAGTTTCATAAGAAATGCCTTCAAAACACACCTCTTTCTTTAAAGAAATCTTAATGTAATGTTTAGATTAAAAATATTTGTTCATCTTCTTTTAAAACACTAAAAGTTTTGTTTAAAATACTATCTTCATATGACACAAATACTTAGCACTTATACTGACCCAAAGGTCAAAATGGGTAAGTGAGTCTTTAACCAGAAACTGTATCTTTGATTCTATAAATTTACATATGAATCACTCGGAAAATTTTAAAAATAGGAGATATTTTAATGCTTTAAATAAGTCACTTCTGTGTCATTTCCCAATTTGAATGGCAACACTGAATCTTATTATAAATACTCTTATTCAATCAGATAGACTACACAAATAAAAGAGTCCTGAGTCTCATTTATTTCACATTTAGGTAGATTCCATCCCGAGAGAATATTTTACTGAGAAAAAGAAACAAACAGCTAGATAACTATATATGTAGATTAGAGAAACCACTTTTTTGATTTTTAAAATTATTGTTATTTAAACAGTCGACTTCTCTTCTTCATCCCCCTCCTCCATCTGTTCTTCTTCAGAAAAATCAGTACAATGATATACTGTCTCTCATATTCACTTGAGCCACTGTGCCTTTGAGTTGACAGGCTCTGTAATGTCACAAGCTAGGACTAAAATTAGGAAGCCTGCTTCTAGTTTGGTTCTTTGATTAACTAGCTTTGGGGAAACCTTCCCAATTTACTTTCCTCAGTTGTAAAATTCCGTGGAAAAAATGATAAAATCTAGCATATCTTATAGTTATATCTGGTATATACTAAGCATC